TCCAGTCAAGTCTCAAGTCAAGTCCAAGTCAAAGACATTCAAGTACAAGTCGAGCCCAAAGTCAATGATGTGGAAGTCCAAGTCCAGTCCAAGTCCTTAACTTTGAATTTTCAAGTCATAATCAAGTCATCTGTCCAACTTCAATTTAGTGACAACGATAATAAATAAATTCCAGAAATAAAGCTTCTTAAAGCTTCATTTATTTGCTGAAACAAGAAGAAAGTACAACTGAAACTGATTATAAACAAAGTGCTGCTCCACCTGTCTTCAGTGTTTTCAGTGTTGCACTCCGTGTAGCTGTTTGGTGTTTGGGGCTCGCTAAAACTGATTTAATGTCTCTGTACTAGGATATCTCTGAGTTATTGTAGCACATAAGCACGCTAAAACACACATTTTCTGTTGTTCCACCTAGCTTTTAGGAAACCATTTGAGTTTGCACACAGTTTATTTGGTGTTGAACAGTTTGCTTGTCCAGTTAGCTTAGCCTCAGCACAGCTATGGCTACTTCTGTCTCTGCTCCTATCTCTTGCTCTCTGTGTCAGATGTTTAGTTACTCCTCTGCCTCCTTTAGTGATAATGGTACGTGTAATAAATGTAGCATTTTTGTAGCTTTGGAGGCGAGGGTGTCGGAATTGGAGTCCCGGCTCCGCGCTGTTGAAAAACCCGTAAACAGCCGTAGCTACTTAGCTAGCGCGGAGCTAACTAGCTCAGAACCACCCCGTAGCGGTCCTCCAGCAGAACCTGAGCAGCCGGGACCTCAGGCCAGCTGGGTGACGGTACGCAGGAAGCATAGAACCCAGCCCGTGGGCCACCACCAACCCGTCCACGTTTCTAATAGATTTTCCCCGCTCAGTGACGCACCCACTGACAAGCCGGCTCTGATCATTGGCAGCTCCATAGTCAGAAACGTGGCATTAGAGACTCTAGCAACCATAGTTAAATGTTTACCTGGGGCCAGAGCGGGCGACATTAAATCTTATCTGAAACTGCTGGCTAAGGATACGCGTAAATACAGTAAGATTGTTATTCACGCTGGCGGTAACGACACCCGGTTATGCCAATCGGAGGTCACTAAAATTAATGTTGCTTCAGTGTGTAAGTTTGCCAAAACAATGTCGGACTCCGTAATTTTCTCTGGCCCCCTACCTGATCGGACCAGTGACGACATGTTTAGCCGCATGCTGTCCTTCAACCGCTGGTTGTCTAGGTGGTGTCCTGAAAACAACGTGGGCTACATTGATAACTGGAAAACTTTTTGGGGAAAACCTGGTCTGATGCGGAGAGACGGCATCCATCCCTCTTTGGATGGAGCAGCTCTTCTTTCTAGGAACATGGCCAGTTTTATTAGTCCTCCATGACAACCCAGGGTCCAGACCAGGAAGCAGAGTCGTAGTTTAACCCACCCCTCTGCAGCTTCTGTACTGTTACCCACCCACTACCCCATAGAGACAGTGTCCTGCCCACGGCCAAAATCACACAGATTAAATATCAGGCTTAATAAAGCAAATCATGGAAATCTCATAAATATTAGAACAAATTCAATTGAGCAGAAAACTAGAAAAATTAAATGTGGGTTGCTGAACATTAGATCCATTTTTTCTAAGACTTTGTTAGTTAATGACTTGATTTGTGATAATCAGATCTCTTTGCTCTCTCTCACAGAATCCTGGCTGCAGCAAGAGGACTGTGTTAGCTTAAATGAGTCGACTCCTTCAAATTATTTAAATCATCATATTGCTCGAAGTACAGGGAGAGGAGGAGGAGTGGCAACTACAGTATTTTTCATTCGGACTTATTAATCAGTCCCTTACCGATTAATAGTTACAGTTTGTTTGAACATCTTATTCTTAGTTTTCCTAATCCAGATTGCAAAACTGTAAAACCACTCTTGTTTGTTGTTTTATATCGTCCACCAGGCCCTTACTCTGAGTTTGTGGATCAGATCTCTGATTTTTTTATCAGATTTGGTGCTAAATACTGATACGGTCATTGTAGTGGGGGATTTTAATATTCATGTGGACATTAAAAATGATAGCCTCAGTGTAGCCTTTAGTAATATCTTAGACTCAATTGGTTTTACCCAAAGAATACATAGCTCCACCCACTCCTGCCATCATACATTAGACCTTGTGCTGACTTATGGCATAGAGTGTGAGGAAATGACGATCTTTCCACGTAATCCAGTCCTCTCGGATCACTTTCTGATAACCTTTGAGTTTTTTATAACTGAGTTCTCGAGACATGAAAGTAAATTTCACTATAGTCGGTCTCTATCTGACAACGCAGTTGCATCTTTTAAATCAACTGTTCCATCTTTACTGTCCTCAGCATCTCAGAGGAACGTAGCAGAGGGCAATATTTTCAGTTCTAGCCCCTCACAAATTGATGCCTTAGTTCATAATGTTACTTCCTCTTTACGTGAAGCATTAGATGATGTTGCCCCTTTAAAAAAGAAGGTAATTAGGGACAGGAAGTTGACTCCCTAGTTTAATTCTCATTTACGAGCCTTAAAACAAAACTCTAGGAAATTGGAGAGGACATGGCACTCTATGCACCATGAGGAGGCCTACCTATCCTGGAAAAATAGTCTTGTGCTTTATAAAAATAAGCTTCGACAAACTAGAACTGCTTATTTCTCAGCATTAATTGAGGAGAATAAGCATAATCCTAAATTTCTTTTCAGTACAGTTGCTAAACTTACACAGAATCATAGCTCTGAGCCATCTATTTCCTTAGCCCTCAGCAGCAATGACTTCATGGGATTTTTTACAAGTAAAATTAATTCTATTAGAAACAAAATCTTTAGCATCCTCCCTAATGCAATTTCTTCTTCCTCAGTAAGTGAGGCAGCATCAGAGGTAACTGTAGAACCTCATCTGTGTTTGAACCGTTTTGATCCAGTTGAGCTTTCAGAGTTATCGAAAATATTAGCTTCATCCAAACCTTCAACTTGCATTTTGGATCCAATCCCAACCAAATTATTTAAAGAAGCATTTCCTTTGGTTACTGCCCCCATTCTATATATAATTAATCTATCCTTAGTAAATGGATATGTACCACAGGATTTTAAGGTTGCTGTAATCAAACCTTCACTTAAGAAGCCTTCTCTGGATCCAGATGACCCATTGAATTATAGACCAATATCTAACCTTCCATTTTTATCCAAAGTCCTGGAGAAAATAGTGGCCATCCAAGTATGTGAGCATTTAAACACTAATGCTCTGTTTGAGGAATTTCAGTCTGGTTTTAGAGAGTATCACAGCACTGAAACTGCATTAGTGAGAGTTACAAATGATATTCTCACAAAGTTCTTTTAAAGAGACTTGAACATGTTGTAGGGATCAAAGAAACAGTGTTAGGCTGGTTTAAATCCTACCTGTCTGACAGATTTCATTTTGTAAATGTACATGACGAATCGTCTTCATACTCCAGGGTTTTTTGTGGAGTACCACAGGGTTCAGTGCTTGGACCAATTCTTTTTACTATATATATGCTCCCAATTGGTAAAATCATTAGACAGCATGGGATAAACTTCCACTGTTATGCTGACGATACTCAGTTATATTTGTCCATTAACCCTGATGAACCTAATCGGTTGGGTAGATTACAGGCTTGTATGCTTGCTTAGTATGAGAATTGCTGTAAAGTCACTGACACTAGTCAGTGACTTGATGCAATTTGCTGGGTTCCTTATATAGGAAAAATTATTTCTGATTGGCTTAATGAACTGACCTGAATTAGAATGTTTATTATGTGAAGTGCCTTGAGACGACTCTTATTGTGATTTGGCGCTATATAAATAAAATTGAATTGAATTGAATTCATGATTTTTGTCCATGTCGTGCCACTTTTGTGCTAAAATAACAAATGTGCTCAAGTCATCATCAAGTCAAGCCAATAATCACAGATGCAAATCGATTCAAGTCGCAAGTCATTGGCATTCAAGTCTGAGTCAAGTTATGTCTTTGTAGATTTTATCAAGTTAAGTCAGAAGTCATTAAAATAATGACCCAAGTCTAACTCGAGTCCAAGTTATGTGACTCGAGTCCACACCTCTGATCCCTACCTTTTGTGAAATGTAACATTTAACGGAGATTCATCTGAATCAGGTACTTGTAGGTTTGATTTTGTGGAAGTTCGCATATTGATGCAAACAACAGAAAGTTTCAGCAATGACATGTGCAGTTTCATGGCCTAGAAATTTTCTATGGAAATTCCCAAGCAAATACTAAAACAGGACGAGGGCGGGAAAGAGGGGTAACATACGGGAGCTTCCCAGTTAAAATGTGAGGCTTGACAGGAATGGCTGAGCAAGCTTAGTACCAAAGCTGCAATGGAGTAAAACTACAAAGATGGCATTAGCTCATATGAAACGGCTTTTGCATCAACTGCCCCATCTGTCTGTTGTACTTTTCATCATCTCTATAATACACTGTATATATCCATCTCATACTCTCAACTACAATGTTGTATGATTAAAGTTAGACAATCACAAAAATAGCTAGTTTGTTTAGAAAAGCGGGGAAAAGCCTCCCCTAGATAAAATACCGCAGCACAACTTTAACAGACGTGGTGATGTCCCAGAGGTCTTCCAGGATATCGTTCATCAAACATCATGTATAAAACACAATCCTCTTGCATAAACATCACGCACTTTTCTCTCTTCACAAAACACAGTCAAGCTTAGACCTTTCACTAAAGCAGCACAAAGATATCAGGAAGTCTGGTGCGCCTCCTTGTGGTTGAAGTGAGAACACACATTTAATTTTCTGACAAAAACATAAGTTTGCAATCTGCACATCACACCTGCACCTCATGTTTTTAAAGTCGGGATTAAAAAATAGAAATATTCTGATTAGTGATACAACTGCAACATAAAACTGATGAGATGAGCCTCCACTCTCTACCTGAGCAGCACCTGCAGCCAATCAGCTCATTAAGCTGATTGGCTGCAGGTGCTGCTCAGGAAGTGTGGAGGCTCATTAAGCTGACTGGCTGCAGGTTGGGGTATATAAGGAGTCAGTGAGAAAGCATCTGAAGGCTTGTTTGATTCTCTTGCTTGGAGCTAAGCTGTGAAGAAGAGAAATGACTTGTGGACTTGGTTTGGGGTAAGAGCGTTTGATATATATATATATATATATATATATATATTTTTTTTTTTTAACTTTTGTTTGTATTTGAGTCAGATGGTGTTTCTGATTGTGTCTTTGTTTCCTGAACAGGATTTTGCTGATTTGCATAGTTCAAATAGAGCATGTGTGTTCATTGGTTGAAAGAGGTAAGTGTCACAACATTTTAATGTTTGACGTTTTAACTTGCCACCACTGCTTAATGATCCTGTCTTCTCTGTCCTGCAGCACAGAGCTACCAGAACAGCAACGTTGGCCTCCCACTAGCAGATGGACTGAGACAATTTGGTAGCTATCCCCAGAATCAACTCAGACAAGGCCTCATTTCTCCACGCACGGTGCAGAGTAGCAGCAGCAGCTTCAATGCGGAGCCTGTGGTCAAAAGTGGTTATGGTCAAGGACTCTTCACTAGGAGCCACACACAAGCTCTCCCCCAACCAGCCAGGAGTTCAGTGAGAAAAGTGAAGAGTAGCTTGTTAAAATTTAACCGACAGAGCCCAGTCTCTCCACGTGCTAGTGCTCCAGCTGAACGACAGAGCCCAGTCTCTCCACGTGCTAGTGCTCCAGCTGAACGACAGAGCCCAGTCTCTCCACGTGCTAGTGCTCCAGCTGAACGACAGAGCCCAGTCTCTCCACGGGCTAGTGCTCCAGCTGAACCAAAGCGCTCATTTGGTCTTTCTATCGATATTGCAAGTGGATCCGCAGTGAGTCAGCGAAGTGAAAAGCTTAAGGATCTCGAGCAGAAAGGTTTGTCTGCTCAGCGGGAAATGCCACAGCCTAGAAAGCATCTGTCCAGCAGCCCTAGATCTGCCCAGAGTCCTTCTAGGGAGCGCTATTCCTTGAGTTCAGCTTCTCGACAGTCTCTAGCAGACTCTAGATCCAACAGTCCTTCTGGGGAGAATTATCCTTTCAGATTGGCTTCTCTGCCAACTGCAGCACGGAAAACTTCCTACGCTACTCCAAAGACTTCTTACAACAAGCAAATGAGTTCTTCTGCTGTCCTGTTTGGCCCAGTTGCTCCTGGACCACGTGAGCGCTACACGAGGATGCAGACCTTTGCTCGTGGCCCTGCTAAAAGAGTGGTCTCAAGTCGTCGCAGTGGAGCATCTAAAGCTGCCGTGTTCTCTCCTCGGATGGAGTCCTCAAAACCATTTGAGGGTCAAGGAAGCTACAGGCCAATGAGTCAGGTGCAGATCTACCAACCCAGCAGCGTCTCCAAAGGAGTCTACAACATGGCCTTCCCCAGAAGCAGCAGAGTGGACTCGTCAGTTATGGGATTTGCCCCAGTGACCGTCCACGATATCCCCAACCGTCTAGGGGGCTCATCAATCAGACGGCTGAAGGAACCTGACCAGAAAGGGGAGGCCATCCGAAAGCTTCAGCCCTACACACCTCATCTCCAACGTGGCCGTTCAGGATGGAGCAGGATCCAAGTGCACAAAGTCTAGAAGGTAAAAGTATCTGCCCTCAACATTCAATGTTCTGATTTCTTGTATTAAAGTTTTTCTAATTTCACAGGAACTGAAGCAAATCAGGGGTTTGAAATAAAGATTATTTCATTTAAAACTTCCTGAGTCTTAATTTCAAAGGTTGACTTTGATCCCAGTAGGAATGAGGTTTGTTTAAAAAAAAATAACCTCCCCCAATTGTGTGTTCTGATATTAAAGCAAAGCCTTAAAGCAAAGCCTCAATGCCGTTATCATCAAGTCATCTGTTTAACCAGATGAGGGTGCCACTGACTACAAAGAGCTGCATAGTGACTCAGGTTAAGGATTACAATGGATTCACCTTAAGGAATTTAAATATCCTTTTGCCACCAGATTTAAAAGCTTTGGCAAGCCCAATTTTTGCTTTTGCACTAAGTGATATGCGTGAAACTGAAGAAGCCACAGGCTTGTGTACTCGAGTGCAAATGACTGGGTCAGTAACCTACAAACATGGGAAAGACGGTATAAGTCACTACTAAAGCTGTCATAGCATGTTGAAAGAAATGTGCATGTCACCTCTAGCTAGATAAATTAAAAAATTGCTCACTGGTCTTCAGATTAAATTTCTAAAGTCTGGAAGAGAATCTACGTAGCTGGAAGTTTCCTGAACTTTGGGGTGCCATCTCAACTACAATGCCAGTGGTTACTGGGCTTGTTTGGCAAGTAAACTGGTCTGGCCTGAACCAAAGTATGGGTTCTGTTCAAACCCCAATGACCTGAAGTCTGTCAGCATTGTGGGCTTCCATCACACCTTGTTTGGGTTCACACCTTCACTTTATACTCATGATTTAATTTTCTATTGTATCACTGCTATTTTGATATTGGTTAGAGGTATTTGCCCTGAACTTTATCATGTTGTACAGCGCTTTGTGATATGTGAAAAGGTGCTATATAAATAAACTTTTACTTACTTACCTTAGCAGATGGGGGCTAGGCTAACTCCTAGTAAAATGAGGCACAACAGAATTGATGGACGGAAATTAACATTTTTGGAAACTTGACATTTGGTTATATCCTGTTGAGATTTGGAGTTTTCCTTAACTGTGAGCCAAATCAGAATTACAGGTAAGGAATTCAAACATGTTATTTTGATAGTTTCACTTAAATTGACAATTATAAACTTCCCAACATTGATTTTTTGTACATGTACCTGTAATTTAATACAGCATGATTTGTCTTTAGTGTCCCTGCCATCAAACCCCTAAATGTGGGCCTACAACGCTTTACACAGGTGACAAGAACTCTGGTGGGTCAGGGATGTATAAACCTGACATTTTTGGAAGGTTTAAGCTGGCTTTTGTGACCTTTGTCACCACCCTCCTTATTCTGCCTTTATTCCATTGATTTCTCCCTTTCCTTACTTTATTTTCTCATTTAAACATATTTTCAATCATTAAAAAATATTTTATACTTTTTTATCTTGAGGCGCTATATAAAAGATCATTTTCTTTTTAACATGTTTCAGAGTTTGTACTCCCAGACATGTTTCTGTAGTTTCATCAGAAAAATCTGGGACTTGGATTATTCCTGCTTTATCCACATCAATCCAAGGAAATGTTAAATAAATCCACAGCAAACATCTTACGAAGATTTCATGTACATTTATTCTTAACACGTGGAACATATAGTATAAAGATTTCATACTGAATAAATGATATTCATTAAGCCAAAAAAATGGGATAAAAGGAATTTACATCAAGTCTTTAGCTACATCATCTGAAATACAAATATGCAGAATCCGCATTGCTGAAAAAAAAAGTTTTTTTTTTCTTTTTTAAATTAAACCGGTATCTTCATCGGGGGTCAAGTTCATCATTTGTGACGGAGCTCAAATGAAACCTTAAACACGATTTTTGTTTTTACGCTCCACACCCAGACCGGAGACCAACAGAAATTTAGCTGGATGTGGCATCAAACAGCAGCTGAACATCCTCCTTCCCCAAAGAGCACAAAATCCGAGCAGGGCGAAGCGCTGAAGTAATGGGGGGGGCATCAAGTAATCCACGTCGGTGTGATCGAATGTGGGGAAAACTTGTCAAATATTAAAAAGGGTGAAGAGCAACAGAAGTGGACAAAAGGAGAAGTGTAATGTACAAGGTCTTATTTACACTGCAGCTCGGACTGCATCTAGCGTTAAGGACCAGTCCTATAGGTGACTTTAATATAATGGTCAAGTCATACAATCAAGGGACAAAGAGAAGAGGTCGGGGTGTTGTAGGTTCACCATACTTTGGGGGGAAAGCCGTTATCTCTCTCAACATCAACTAAAACTGTTTTTAAAAACTACAGTTTGCTGCCAAGACAGCGTATCTCAGTGTGAAACAGTATTATTACAGTATGTTTACAGTTTGTAAGGTGTACAGTACAGAATAAAAGTCCTACAATCTACTGCACGGGCCTTCCCACACAGACGTCCGTTCACAGCCAAAAAGTTGTGGTTCCTGTGAGGCCGAGGATAGTAGCATCCAGAGTTACAGCAATGATACCACGTCACAGTCCATGAGTCTGCGTCGCCTCCCAACATCCAACCAGTCCCTCTTCCCCTGCCGACCCCTCTGAGGGGAAAAGTGAGCACGTGTTATCCTCCAAACTCACTGTAAACGAGACAGCAACTTTGGTTACAGTTTGTTTTCTTCCTTTTTTTATTGAATTTTTGTTACTTTTCATTAAAAAACAAGTCCCTCCCACTCAGCAGCGCTCTGTTCTTTAGCCTGTGCGCTCCACGTGCTCCTCTCTGCCAGTCCCGACCCACTCTAGGTGGGTAAAATCCACAGCTACTTCATGATATTCCTTCGTTTCGAGAGAAGCTGGGGTAGAAAAACAGTGAAGTCCAAGGTGATTTTGCATAAATTAAAAAAAGAAAAAAGTTTTTATTATTTTCGCTCGCTCGCACACATCCACACTCACGTATTCACACACAAAAGGAGGTTGAGGGAGAACCGAAAGAGGCAGAGCTGACAGCTCCGAATGGCTGTCACGACTGGCCAATCAGGAACAGTACATCACAGATTACCTGGGACACCAGAGGGTTCATAAGTGGGGACACTGAGATATCAAGTAGCCGTGACTCGTACAAAGTGAACTCCAAGTGGTTTTCCTCCACCTTGGCCAAGGCATGCAGCGCCCGGGCCGCTCGTCGCATCATGTCCACGCTGGTTGGCTCAAACTGTGGGCCACCCTGCATCTGGAGCAGGGAGCTTTGGCTTTGTTGGTACTGCGTGGCTGCTAGGCTATCCTCTAGGAACCCCAGCAGGTTACCCACGCTGCCTTTCTGCACAGCAATAGCCCGAGCTGCCAGGCTGTCACCCTGAGCTAAGTTCGCTAGCAAGACAACTGCCATTTCCCGGCAGACAGCGATCTTCCGCTCACCGACGAGACGTACGAGCGAGCCGTAGAGCTTCTCCAAGCGGCTGAATGGTGGTGTTGCCAGAATGAGGTCAACGTTGTTGTCCTGGATGCTGAGCTTGCTGAGGGTCTCGAGGACCAGTCTCTGGGGTGAAAGGGAGCTGTGGGGCCCGAGCGTAGGGAAGGGATCCAAGGCCTCTGCTGAAGGGCAAACAGCCCAGTGGAGCAGACCATCCAGCAGCGGGAGGCATATGCTCTCAGAGTAGATGGAAAGGTCCAACTGGCCTGAGATGTTTGCCAGAGTGACCAAACAGTTCTCCCGTAACACCTCGAGGCAGTCCCACCACCACTCGTCCCTGCCACAGCTCACACCATCATCCTCCTCTTCCTCCTTCTCATAGGTCACGGGGGCCTGTTTGCGTTCGGGGTGCCTGTGGTGGAGCAGCACCAGACGGCCCAACAGCAACAAGAGGCTCGGGTGTTTCGACATCTCCAAGTCGTTGCCAGGCACAAAGGAGAGGCTTCGGACGATGTTGGAGATGCAGATGCAGCGCCGAGCCAGCGAGTCCTGCCAGTCCAACAGGGTGCTGAGCGGCGTTTCGTCCTTGCTGTGTGGCTCGTCTTCCAGGATTTTGATGTTGCGGCGGCTCTGTAGGTCAGGGTTGATGCTGAACAGGTACTTGCCATTCTCCTTCTGCTCCTCAGCACCTCCACGGACCACCTCCTCTGTGACGGACCCTGGCCGAGCAGATAGCACGTCATCGATGGTGGCCGTGACTGGTGCACCAATTGGAAGAGAAGGGGGGGTCTTCTCTGCTGGTTCCTTGGTGGGTTCAGAAATCTGAACATGCTGCTCCCGAGCCATCTCCTCTTCACAGCACTTGGACTTTTTAGGCTTCTCCACTGTGGTACCAGGCACCTTGTTCTTCTTGTGGCCTTCGGTGGCTGCTGTCATGCATTTTCTCTGCTGAAGAAGATCCATCCGACTCTCAAAGTGGGTCTGGATGTGGTCAGTAGTGTCACCACCTCCAATGCTCCAGTGTATGAGGCCACTGTTGAAGCTTTGTCGCTGCCCAAGTCTGGAAAAACCGTTACCCAGGAAGGGATTCTTCTTTCGCACCATCTTTATGGGCAGCTTATCAAACTTGCTAGCCTGCTTAGGCTTTTCCAAGTGAACATTGGGGTCCTGAAGGGACCCTGAGGTAGAAGTACTGGCTTCCTTGGCAGAAGACTCCTTTTCATCTTCTTCATCCTCTGAGGACTTAGCTTTCAGAAAGGTTTCCTCCTCCTCCTCTTTCACATGCACCAGCAAGGAAGCGTCAGGACTGGTTTTTGTTTCCTCTGTCTCCTCATCTTCCTCATCCTCCTCATCTGTGTGCATGTCTTCGCCCTCAGGAAGGAGGACATCATCGTCAGAGTCGTCTGCTGCATTGGGGTCTAATAGGATACGCTGGCCAGGATCTCCTACTTCGTATTCCTTTAAAATGCCAAAGATCTCAATGAGGCAACGTCTGAAGTACTCCACAACCATTTCCAAGAATCCAGGTAGCTGCAAAATAAATTTTAAAATCAGTCAGCTGATAACTAAACGACAAAACCTTAACAGACGTGCTGAACTTACCTGGCATAGGTTAAACGTAGAGATGCTGTTGTCGTCGTACAGTAGAATGTTAATGGTGTCCAGGGCCCAGGTGCTTTCAGCTAATAAACCCGACTTCAGTGACATCATCACTCTCCACGCTTCAGGAGTGCCTTCAGAAACACAAGTGTCAGAGAAACCTTAAGTCTTTTACACAACAGATAAAAGTCGATGGATAGTCAAGGGCACCACATGGAAAAATGGACAAATGCATGTTACTACCTCTTTACAAAGTCACAAATTAAGGTTGGGCAATATGTACATTTTGTAAACTTATTTTCTTGAGCCTAAATGACGTTGGGTGATAAACGCAATGACACACCGCCATCGTTCTTAATCAGTCTGCAGAAGCAGACCAGGAGTCCTAATGCGAGATTCTTTTCCAAAGTTTCATTGGCGATTTGATGCATCAATCAACCACATACTGTACCACAAACGGTTTAAGCTACACATGTGAGAAAGAGGGGCGGGGCTCCTGACATATCAGCCAATAGTTGAAGCTTTTGCCACAGCTTCACATATTGGATCAAAAGTTTGAAGCGCGAAGATGAGGATGCGAATGGCAGTTATGATAAGTGACGCATCTGAAGTTATCCTTCAATGTTTTCGTCGCTTAAATATGTTGGGTTGTGGACGTACTGTCCCACGTCCCGGCGGTTGTTGACGATGTTTGTCTTTTTTAAAATTTGTAATGGAGAAGTGTTTACAGTGGGTTAACGTCAAATGGGCTAATCCATGCAACCCTAATTAGCACATCTTTGGAATCACAAATATTCCATCTTTCCATTGACGTAGAAAATGTATATGCATACACAGTTGAGCAAAAAAAAGATGCAGATTTGACCTGATAGTTTGTAATGTCTGATCTGCAAGACAACTTCTAAAATAAAATTGCTCTTAAAACAAGATCAGTGAAGGACTCAGACGACTGCTGATGGTCTAAACGCCTAATCTTATCATGAATAAACGAGAAGTTCTTTACCGATTTCTTTCATGGTGAGCCGTCTTCGGGGTTTGAGGTGCGGTTGGGAAGCCTCCACAGAGCCAGGAGGAAAGGCCACATCTCGTCGAATCAAGGGTTGTTGCACAGGTGCCTGACCAATATGCGAGGCGGGCACTGGAGGACCTGCTTTCTGCACCTTGATGCCCGGATGCATGTAGGGAGACTTGCTGGGTGACGTCCTGCTCTCCACTGGCCTGGGCATAGGCGCTGGGCTTGACACCTGAGGAATGTGGTTCTGGGAAGTTTGGTAGGTGGAAGGAAGGGGTCTTGTCATTGGTGGTCCAGAGCCTGCAGGGCCAAACGGTGGCTGCCGCTGGTTAACGTGACCAGGCCACTGTCCCTCATGGTTCATGCGTTGGTCTGATGGTATCATCTCGTCTGAACGGTTCATGCTGTGGTACCCAGGTCCCTGGCCTGGTACAGGTGGTCCCTGTCTGTTGGAATAGTTGAGATAGCCCATCTCATTTCGACCCTGCCACACCGGGCCTTGGGGTCCATCAGGACCTGAAGGCATTGGGCTTCCCATTATCTGGGGAGGCATGTGGGATTGGGAGTTTGGACCTGCAGATGATGGTCCTCTGTCCCGTCCAAATGGGAAGGGAAACTGGCTCTGTGGGCCAGGTGGTCTGCGATCTCCACCTGGATATGGATTATACTGGTTATACATGTCCTGCTGGCCCTGGTGCCCAGAGGGCTGGGGTCCAGGCTGTTGCTGACCACTGTAAGGAACGTTGTACATCTCTCCCTCATGACGCTTGGCTGGAGGTCCATACCCTCCATCTACCGGACGTTTATAGTTCTGCCAATAGATTCATATAATTAGTGACTTCAATTAGTTTGTTTGCACGTAAATGTTTTACTGCTGGAATACAAGACATGGGAAGAGAAACCATGCCACGAGTTATCTATAATTACTAAATAATAATGAATAGGCTAGAGGAATAGTCCTGGAAACCCTGAAAAAAATGTCCGTACCGGCTGCTGCTGTTGGAACATTCCTGGCTGTTGATTTGGGTATGGGCCACCAGGGGGCGCTCCTTGACCAGGATATTGATTTGTATAGGCCTCATGCCTGAAAACAACAAAACAAAAGCTCACAATAGAACATCCTTCTCTTCAGCGATTGTGCTGCTATAAAGTTGTAACAACATCCCTGCAGTCGGCCATGACCACAGAGGCTAAATGCTTTCAGCCAGATTTTCCATGCCAGGCCCTGCTGTACTAACCGCTGCTGTGGTGGAGGACGGCTGGGTGAATACATCCCTGCATCTGCACCAGAAGGCATCATGTTGGGCTGAGGTGCTCCAGGCCCCATGTTGCCATCAGGGCCCATGCCTTGTTCTTGTCTGAAAACCCAACAAACAGCCCCAGTAGCTGTGGTGAATAAACAGCAGGGCACTGGACAGCGGAGCTGATCATCTCTTAATTTTTGCACAACACAACTTGGAGAGGCAGATGTTTACCTTCGATCAAATCCATACGGGTACTGTTGCCTCTGGCCCATGGGAATGTTGCCCATCGGCCCAGGTGGTCCTCTGTTGTACTGCTCACCCATTCCGCTGTTGGGGCCAGGTGGCATGAACTGTTCTCCAGCTAAAACAAACAACCCCAGGTATGGTGACCCCATTCACACCAGACACTTGCATTCATCGATGTTCATTTAAACTGTGTTAAACAGCTGTGAGCATGCTTCACTCAGATCACCTTTAGAGGTGCTCCGGTACTCTAGCTGCCTTATTTGATGTACTGAAGCAAATTCAAGGACAGCTTTTTAATATCAGGTGTAAAAACTTGCATCTAGAGCTGTTTACTTCAGCTTATTAATGTCAGATTCCTTCAGTAACATTTGTAATGGTGATGTGTCCAATACGCACCTTTCCTCATGCCTCCAAAGGGGTCCTTATTTGACTCGTAAGGACCCATTCGGCCCATAATCTCTGGACCACTCATCCCAGGCTGGTAGCCCTGAGAGTTGGGAGTCATGGCATTCCTCCTGGAAAATACTGGGTCTCCGCCATCAGCAAAGGGGTCTTGAAGATTAACACTACTTCTGTAGGAGGACACCAACCATGTTACCAAAATCACAGTGTTCTTCATTTAAAGGTCTCCTTCACTCACGTTTTTTCAATAAATCTGCTGTGGTCTATTATGAATTAATGCCATGCGAGTCATTTTCTAGGGAACAAAAACGCTGCTGCACAGCGTCTTGACCTGTTATTTAAACACCTCTCCTTCGATTGGCTAACAGCAGCGTGACTCTTCCACTGCCTTTGCTCGTCATTCTTAAGTGTAACACCGATGTGTCGCCTCCATAAATAATACAAGCCTGAACATGTTTCGCCATGTTACTGAATTGCTAATGCTAAGAGTTAGCTTCTACTAACAGAGACGTATTCTGATCTCCCACTGCTAAATAAACACTGCCTTCAGCAGTCAAAAGTCAAGGTGGGCGGGGCCATGAATGCTAATTTCCCATGTGAAGAGACTGGCTTTTTCCTACTTGATCATTTCTCTGGCAAATTCTGTGTGGCGGCTAATGCAGGTGATGGGGTAAACGACTGTTTCCTGTTTAGCATTTGCGACTCCAAGTGAGCGATTTTAGAAAAGACCATTTTAAATACAAACATCTTTACCATGTTGGCATTAACAGTTTGCATACCAACTATTGATTGGTATGGTATTTTTAATCACCCAGTTAATTCTGACATAATTACACTTTATTTCCTAAAACAATGATTTGTTTTTATTAGACATTATTATTATATTATATTATTATTATCTATTATAATAATATATATATTATTATTATTATGAAATAGATGCACTCCATGCTCATCTTCCAAAGCCCCTGATGTCTCAAAAATTTTTATGCTTCTTATATAATGTCATCAAAAAGTCACGGTGCTGAGTTAGCATCTACCCACAAGCATCTTCCCTGCATGCTGTGATGACACCATTAACACCATAGAAACTTGATACTGTGGCTTCAGCTTCTTACCTGACGCCGGGCATTGGAGGCATTTGTGAGTGGGGAGTGGACGCTGGGGTGGGGGGTTTCAGGTCTCCCCCTTCTGCCATTGAGCTAGTAGTGGACTGTGGGGTTTGGGGTCCTTGGAGGGACCCTGAACCAGCTGCAAAACAAGAATTAAACTATTAAGTATATGGGCAATGTTGCATACTGTTTCTCCTTTCCTTCTGTTGAATGAATGAAGACGAGAGTATTGAGAGGCCCTTCTGGACACACGCAGGTTTCAACAATCCTAAACCCCACGATGAACTTATCTGTGGCTTCACTGAATAAAGAAGCCTGGTTTAATGGAAATCCACGCGACTCTGTGGTTGCACCGTGGCACGGACCGACTGCTGCTGAGGTGTGTAGAGACGAAAGACAGCCGAGGGCGTGAGTGAGTGATGGTTTGTTTGTGTTGTCAGGATGTGTAGCGCTCATCCTTAACTTCAGCTTAGCTCTCACTATTAGCATGGCAGGCTGATGAGTCACAGGTTCCCATTCATTACACCAGCACATACACATGCACACACACACCACTGGGGTCACTGCCAGGTCACATTTATTCACATTTTCTCACATCAGCCTCTCCAGTTCTCACACACACACACACACCAACTCCCCCCCCCCCTCCCCCCTGCTCCCTCTGGGCAGGGATTTCCCTCTACAAAGATGAGGGGAAGGAAAGGGGAGGTGGAGGATCTCACAAGGATATTAAAAGTAGCATGGCAGAAACAGGGAGAAACAGACTGAATCATGTGACTCTACACACACACAAAAGCCCTGTCCTCATTCATAATTTCCTCCTCAGTGCTAATCTCCAGAGGACTGTTGCCTCGCTACTGAGGCGACAGGCCGGGCAGCCACAAAGCACCGCTGACGGATTCCTCCCTCCAACTAACTGGAGGACAGATGCCAGCCGACATCCTGACGTCTCCTGTAACCATGACGCTGTGTTTTGCATCTGACAAAACGGGTCTCGGCCCGACTGAATCAGCACGTGGTTGCTCCTTGCAGCAAGAACATGCATCTGTTCTAGGCAACAGCCTGGTCCGTGGACCACCATTCCACTTCCAGGCCAACTTTCGCCTGACCACTGCTTGATCCTAACCCTAACCTTGACCAACAGGGTTTAGAGAAATTTCAACCAGTCGGACCAAGGACCAATCAAGGTAAAGTTGGGGTAGTCCTTCAGCCAATAATGCTTCTTAAACTTCTGAGAGAATATTTTTGTCACTTTTACGTTTTAAATCCAGAACCACAGCAAGGATTTATGAAGAAAGCAACAACATACAACAACGCTGCCCTAATTATGCTATATGCTACACCAGCCCACTGATGGACGGCGTTGGCATGAAGTTAGGCCAACTGAGAGGCGGGGCTCACCTGGGCTCGGAGGCTGGATCTTCGTTTGGTTCTTTTTTGTATCCGTGTTGAAAAAGTCCGGAGGTGGGTCTTCACCACGTTCGATCTTGCACTCGAAGGCATACAAACACTGGATGTACTGTTTCTTTAGCGAGCTCGCCGCGCTGCTCGACGTGCCCACATTCAGGTTAGTGGCCAGCTCCCTCCACTTTTTGTTTTTGTTCACCTAGAGGTAAAAATGTTCTCATGAGTTACAGAGAATTCTCTCTGAAACTCAGATATTCATGTGAAACAGGTAAAAACCACCAGCACACCTGGGTGAGACCACCAATCTCTTTGACGGACACATAGAGTCTGAAGAGATCGAGAGGCTTACGGCCGACAGCAGGAAGATTGTTCATGCCCATGGCCTTTTCCTCGGCAAAAGCCAGGTACCGGTCCACCCACATCTTCCTCTCAGGCTCAGGACCGAGCTCATACAGCCGAGTGATCTTTTCATTAGTGATAGTGGAAGAACTCGACTTCTGTAGAGTGTAAAAACCATTAGATGGAAGAAATACCTCAGGAGAAAGAGCACGATTACCATCTGCACTTTGATTTCTGACCTTTTTGGATTCAGGCTTTGGAGTCCCCTCGACTTTGTTGTTGATCTTTTGGGTGGGGTTCATTTTGTCCATACCAAACTCAGAGCTAGGAGTCATTCCTGGATGTTTACAGGGAAACCAAAACAACAACAAACATTAGCTGTCTAGGAACACACATTAAATCCCAAATGTAACCTGATAATCCTGCAGCGGAAGACGAACTCACCTGGGGAGCTGTTGGTCATGTTTCCACCCATTGGATAAGACCCTGGCCCTCCCTGATTCATCACACCGTGCATGCTATTCATGCCTGGGCCGTATGGAGAGCCTGCTCCCATCATGCCCTGGGGCATGCTTGGGTAGCCCGGCGGTCTGGAGAAGACAAAATCCTTTCAGACGGCACATTTTGTAAAGTGCAGAACATGACTAAACAACATAAATGTGTATTCTCCGTAAACATAGGGCCAAAACTGGCAGAAGAAATAAAGGCTGATGGAATAGAAAGGGACACTGGTGAAAATAATGAAAGGAATAGAAGCTCAATATTTTTGAGAGAAGTGGAAGAGAAAGAGATCTATGGCATAGTTAGAGGACTTAAGAACAAAAACAGTACAAATTGGAATGATATTGATATGGTAACAGTAAAAACAGTCATTGATGGTATTGTAAAACCCTTAAAATATATATTCAACTTGTCATTTCAAAAAGGGCTTTTTCCACCAGATATGAAAGTTGCTAAAGTTATTCCCATATACAAAACCAGTGAAGGCATCATTTTACAAACGATAGACCAGTGTCGATACTCTCCCAGTTCTCTAAGATACTGGAAAGACTTTTCATAAAAAGATTTGACAGTTTTGTGGAAAAATATGAATTACTGACAGATAGCCACTTTGGGTCCAGAAGCAACGGATCAACAGCTTTGGCATTGACAGATTTAATGGAAAAGATAACGGACTGTATGGATAATAAGAGGTATGCACACTCGGACTTTTTTTAGACCTAAAAAAGGCGTTTAATACTGTTAATCATGAAATTCTATTAAAAACTGGAAAGGTACGGGTTTAGGGGAATCGTTGGGGGCTGGTTAAAAAGTTATGTAAGGAATAGGAAACAATATGTACAAATAAATGAATATAAATCTGATTTGATGGATATAGCTTGTGGAGTACCTCACGGTTCAGTACTGGGCCCTAAATTGTTTATTATGCACTTAAACGATATCTGCTGAGTATCAAAAATTTTAAAGTTTGTAATATTTGCAGATGACACAAATATACTTTGTTCAGATGTGGAATTGACACAGGTTTTGGAGTTGATCACACAGGAATTGACGATATTAAAAAAGTGGTTTGATATAAATAAATTATCATTGAATCAATATAAAACCAGATTTACCAAAAGAAAAACATCAGAATAGAAATATGTGTGGATAATGAATATTTAGAAAGAGTAAATGAAATAAAATTTCTTGGTGTGATCATTGACCATAAGCTCTGTTGGAAGCCACACATTACTTATGTTCGGGGGAAATTGGCACGGGTCGTTGCCATCCTGGGGAAAGCACAGAAGATGTTGGATCAGAAAGCCCTGCACATGTTATACTGTGCTTTACTACTGCCATATATGAGTTACTGAGTAGAGGTCTGGGGAAGCATACAAAAGCAACATACAGACGATAACTATAATACAGAAAAAGGCCATTAGAATAATAAATAATGTGGGGTACAGGGACCATACAAATGCACTCTGTCGAAATGCAAGTTATTAAATTCCAAGACTTGGTGAAGCTCAAAACAGCACAAATAATGCATAAAGCAAGAAATAAATTGCTTCCAAAAGAATTCTGTGTATTGTTCAAAGAAAGAGAAGGTGGGTATAACTTAAGAGGGAAATGGAATTTAAAAATACAAAGTGCTAGAACAACTTTAACAACGATGTCAATCACAATTGCAGGAGTTAAATTATGGAACAGTCTAACAGAAGAAATAAAAGAAAGTAAAAACATAAACCAGTTTAAAGTAAAATATAAAAACCTAATTTTAAATAAGTGTAAGAATGAAGAAAACAGGGTTAACCCAGGATGGTAATGTGGCTGGTTAGGTTGTTGTGCTTCTTTTTCGGTGTTTTTGGTTTGTTTGTTTGTTTGCTTTTTTCCCCATAAATGGTGAATCTGCAAATTTACACATTCTCTGTTTTTCATATGTTGTTTTGTTTTTTTTGTTTTAATATATATATTTTTTTCTTTTCTCATAGGTTATTTGTTTAAGATTGAAAGAAAATTAAATGAATAAGAAGTAAAAATTGGGGGTAGGGACAAATAAGTAAATACTTCTGCCTACTCCTTTTCAAACAAATAATGGAATGATATTTTGTAATGACATATGTGTGAAATGTTTGAAATAAAAATGAACTGAACTGACCTTTAGATTTAAATGAAATCTACGCCTTTGCTTTCAGATTTTACAATGTTGGGCTTATTTTCTTGGAAGCATCAGTTTATGTACACGGCAACGACCAGGCCCATGCTCACTTTGTGGATTAAATCTCCACCCAAGATTGGAGGAAAATTATTTAAAAAATGCTGTTTTTTAACCACCAAGTCTGCAGTACTAGGGCATCAAATACACAAACACAAGTGCTTCCAAATGTGTCACTGAAGCCCCCACCTGTTGTGTATAGAGTTAGTGGGACCGTGATGCATGGGGGGGCCACCCTCCTTCCTGTTCATGCCTGGAGGGGGACACATCCCGGACCCCACCTGGGGAGGCATGCCAGCCATGTTGGAGCCCATGCCAGGACCGTAGGGCCGTGCGCCCATCTGTCCAGGACCTATCCTCCCAGGAGGCATGTTTCCATACGGAGCGCCGCCTCCCTGACCTGACATGGGGTTCATAGAGCCACCCATCCCTGGACCACTGGAATAGTTGGCGTTGGGCATCCCCGTGTAACCAGGCTGCCTGGAATAACCTGGAAGTGTTACAAATGAGTCACACATTTAATAATTGTCTTAGACTTTCTGACAGATTAAATACATCTGCAGGTCCTTGCTTTGTTTCACCAGCCCAGCTCTAAAGCCACCTGTTCTGATGAGCAGCCTGATGAGACAGGTTTTATCTGGCCCCGCTGTTTGCTACCATGACTCATGGCAGAAGTTCTTCAAAGCCCACAGAAACCATCCAAGACTTCAAAGTGAAGGAGTATCATTGCATAAATGATACAAAGTAAGTGGAAATTTGCCCATCAAAGAAACGGGGCATCTAAAACCACGTGTTCATGCTCTCCAGCTGCTCTTTACCCATCACATCTACAAAGGTGCCTTACCTTGTGGGCCATACTGGCCCCCCTGAGGACCGTAGTTTCCCATGGTGTTGTTCTGGGGATAAGATCCCATCCCACCATGCATCTGGCCTCCCGAAGGCTGGCGTGGAGATAAAGCAGAGCCAGGCTGTCCAGGGGACCCGTATGGAGGCATCTGAGGGTTTCTCATGTACACTGAGGAAAAAGCAAAGGTAAATGTGTTTGGGCTAGTGATGGGTACCAAAATCTGCACCTCTTTGGTACAGAACAAACATTTTTTGACACTTTTTCAGTCCCTGTTACTGTGATGCTCCAATTCTTTTCCTGCTGGCACCGGCACCATGTCACATGATGTGCAGAGAAGACAAGCTTGTTTACTCACACACAGCCCCCTCCTCTCCCTTTCAATACATCTCCTACAAGCTAAATGTTGAAAATGCCTCCCACAATGTTCGGCTGCGGTTTGTAAAAGATAACGGGAACAGAGGAAATTGCAACATAAGCAAGATTTGTTCCACGAAATATGGGAATCTCTGCGATTTGTCAAAGCAACTCAACGCGCATGGAATCACCTTGTGAGCTGAAGCTAACATCACAGACAGTTCCAGAGGTAAGCAATAATAAACAAATAAAAATAAAAGCACAAATACGCCATGAACGAACCTCTCTGATGTTTGTTTACCTAGCGTTCAACAGGATTGTTATTATTGACAGGAAGTGAAGCATTAGTATTACTGGAAGGCTAGTCTTCTGCTTCTTGTATTTAGTGTTGCTGTTAACATGAGACCTATGGAGAACACGTGAAGAGGAGCTGCAGAATCATCAAAAGTGAGCATTATTGTGGCTTTTATTTGACGTTTCGTGTTGATTGTCCTAATGTATTAAATTTGATGTATTACCACATATTTTCCAATTCAGCAAACCAGAACACCCGAGTGCCGAGCTGGAACCCCTCAGAGGAAGATCAAGCAGCAAGCACAGAGGTGTGTATATATTTATTTATGTACCTCGTTATCAAGATGGAAAATATGATTTCTCTAATATTTCCTTCCTGTATTTAAAATGTAATATAAACAGAAGTGACACCGGCTTTCAGCCTTTGAGGAACTACTTTTTTGGAAGATCAGAAAATAGAAGCAATCACCACCACAGACCAGGTTCATGTGGAGCTGAAACTGTACAGGTTTCCTTCATTGTTGGTGAGCGTTAACCCTGTTGAGTGCTGGTGGAAAACGAAGATTTTGCCATTACTGGACACAACTGTACAGCCTGATTCATGCTTCTCCGTCTGCGTCAGCGCGGAGACACGCAACGTCCTTGCGGGCCTGCCGGAGAGCTTCGCAAGGACGGACGGAGTCGAGCTCTCTTTTCTAAACATACGTCAGTCGAGACGGACAACGCAAGCTTGTGATTGGTCAGGACGTGGCTGTCGTCTACACCGCCGGCATTGCGCCCTCAAAAACATAAAGAGAGTCGAGGATAACTAGCAGCAGACACGGAGAAGCTTGAAGAATACCTCGCAAAAGAACTCTAAAAACATGAACGTTTAATTCCCGTGACTGGAGGAGTGAAAAGATGTGCAGCAAGCGTTTTATTTATGGACGGAAATGACAGGAAACGTGGGTTTAGAGGTGGCGAGCGCAGGAAGAGGTGGAGGAGGATGAGAGACAAATTTGTCTGTGTTAAAAGTCTCTTTTGTACAAAAAACAATAGTAAGACTTGGACCGATACATGACAGGATACCACAGAACAGCGCTACGCCCTCTGTGGTCCTGCCGGGGAATTGCTTTGCAACACTCTCCAGGAGACGGAGAAGTAAGAGAGCAAAACGCTTCCGTCAATCCGTGCGTGTCTGTCCCTCGTGGAGCTGACGGAGAAGCATGAACCAGGCTTAAACGTACCTCTGCAGCCAAGCATCCTCAACACCAGCTGAACGCACATTTTCAACAGTTGGGGGCAAAATCAGTCAAAAAATTGCATGTCTGCTTCCAGAAAAAGCAGACATGCAATTTTTTCTGAAGAAAAACAGCTAGAACTCATGTTTATATAGTGAGTTAATTTTCCTCTGTTTCTGCCCGCAACCCGACAGACCTCCACCGTGCTGTAGAAGAGGTATATGATCAACAGGAGGATGGTGAACCCCTCAGGTCTCTGCTGCAGCTTTTCTTGTGCCTTTAAACCAGGATTTTCAGATATTGTTGGTCTTTTTAGGCTTTAACTCTACTGGCCAGCAACTGCCTGAAATTATGCTGACGCTGTGCTAGATTCACATTCTTCGGGAATCACCTAGGTGATACAAAAGTACTATTTTACCTTTTACATGTGTGTTATTGCAGGCAATTTTGTTTAAGCACTATCCTAAGAAACTACTGTTACACTTATTTGGACCTGACAAACTTTAAACATGTTCTTACTCAACCTGCAGGATGGAAGGACCAGAAACTGGATGCAGTAGAAGTTCTGGCACATCTGGATATTTTACGATTACACAACATTAGGGAAAGCTGCTGTCAGATGTTGCTACGGGGAGCTTTTTGCATGCCCATATTAAACTGGACCTGAACTGAACTACAGATCCTCACTATGAGATCTCACTCAAGAGGCAACAGAAGAAGGTGGCACAGCTTCCTGCTAACCAAATATTTTGTTTTTTGTTTTTGACTGTCAGGTAAAAAGTCACGTGGAAAACTACGGCTCAGAGATGTTTGGTTTCTTACTGGGACAAGGACATTAGTAGACATGACTCTGGACTCACCCCTGTCCTGGTTCATAGAAGAATGCATGATGCCGTCTGAATGGACGCTGGGCGGCCGGGGTGGCATCTGACTACCTGCAGGACAGCAAAGGAATATCATCTCAGTTACTCAGAGATCTAACTTTGTTTCAGTAACTTTGACATTTAAGGAGCTAAATAAGAAAAGCAAAGCTATTTCTACCTGGCACAGCAGCGGGGGACAGTGGGCCAGTGCGAGATGGGGTGACGCTAGCAGGGGAACCCACGGGTGAAGGCGAGGGCCCGCGTATGCCTGGCAGATGTGGCGGGGTGTGTGGGGAGAAGGGGGACTGGGCTGGGTTGCTCTGCTCGCCCTGGCTGCTGGACACCCCGGAGGTGCTGATGCCCGGACTCAAGGCGGCTTCTGTGCCAGTGGGCAGGTCATCGATGGAGCCCGAGAGATCCTGGAGGACAAAGAGCATTTAGTTCAGAGATGACTTCAAACAACACTAAAAAGTTTTAACACATTGCTTTCAAACTGGTTTCAATGGTTTTTCAACCATAAACCTGAACAACTTCACATTGGGTCATACCTGGGCATTTTACGGCCCGCGGGCCACATACGGCCCTTTGGTTGACTTTGACCGGCTCGCGTCAGGTTAATTGGAAATTACAAAATAAATGTATTTTCTCATTTTACCTCATGCATGGGCTAAGGCTGCATTGCTTTTATTTTGAAGTTGTTTTTTACGTGCACAATGACGCAATACGTATAGCAACAGGTGCCCGCGGTTGACATGGTGATTGTAGCCCCGAGAAATGTCCGCTCATGGAAAAAAAAATAAAAAAGAAAAAGAAAGATGCCAAATACAGGATTTTCAACAAAAATTGGACTGCTAAGCATTTTTTTTACTGAAGTCGGAGGTAAAGCCGTGTGTTTGGTTTGCGGGGAGGAGATTGCCGTGTTTAAGGACTACAATTTGAGTCGGCATTACGACAAGAAACACTCGGAAAAACACAAGAACTTGTCTGATGCTGAGAGGGCACGGACATCCGAAGCTTTGCTAGCAAAGTTGCAAAAGCAGCAAGGCTGTTTTACTAAGCTTCACACATCCAGGGATGCAGCAACCAGGACCAGCTTTGTGATATCCCACAAAATAGCTAAAAACAGCAAGCTGTTTTCGGAGGGAGAGTTTGTCAAAGAGTGCATGGGGGACTCTGCCGCACTAATATGCCCTGAAAAAAAAGGCGCATTTGAGCAAATCCCGCTGTCCAGGCGAACCGTGACCAGGAGGATCGAGGACATTGCGGGGAACCTGGAGCTTCAGCTGCAACGTGAAGCGGCAAGTTTTGACTTTTTCTCATTGGCCTTAGACGAGAGCTGTGATGTCTGGGGGATAACGGAGCTCACAGAGGAGCTGGCAGCAATGCGGTCGATGAAAGGGACAACGACAGGGAGTGATCTTTTTACAGAGGTAAATACGTGCATGGACACTCTGGGATTGAAAGGGGAGAGACTGTCAGGTGTCGCAACAGACAGTTGTCCAAATCTTACAGGCAAAAATGTCGGACTTTTGAAACGCATGCAAGATAAAGGGACAGATCAAAAATAGGTGTTTTTGCATTGAATTATACACCAACATGTGTTGTGCAAGTCAGTGCTAAAAATCAACCATGTTACTGATGTTGTTACTAAAATAATAAACTTCATCAGGGCGCGGGCGATGGATCACAGACAGTTTGTGGCTCTTTTGGAGGACTCCACACAGCTGTCAGATGGCTCAGCCTGGGGAAAGTGCTGAAGAGGGTTTGGGACTTGAAAGCAGAGATGCGAGAGTTTTGCGAGAGGAAAGGCAAAGACATTCCAGAGCTCTCAGATGAGGATTGGATGGCAGATTTTGCATTTGCTGTTCATGTGACTGCACTGATGAATGAACTGAACACCAGACTGCAAGGCAAGGGCCTTTTTGTTCATGAAATACACAGCCTCGTGAAGGCCTTCATGAGAAAGCTGCAGTTTCCTTCAAGTCAACCGGAGAGCAACACTCACTCACATGCAAACCCTGAACGAAGTCACACCATCAGCTGATCACCTCAGCAGGTACTCGTCCATGTTAGGAGCATTACATGGTGAGTTTTCAAGGCGTTTTGAAGTTCTCAGAACAATGGAGGATGAAATGCACATGATTTCCTCTCCCTTTACCTACAGTGTGGATAATGCACCCAGTGATGTGCAGCTGGAGCTCATTGACCTGCAGTCTGATGCAGTACTGGCAGAGCACTTTAAGTCAGGATCTCTGCTGGATTTCTACTCTTCTCTTAAGGAGGAGAACTTTCCAAACCTGAGGAGACATGCTCAGAAGATGTTGGTTCTCTTCGGCTCTACCTACCTTTGTGAACAAACATTTTCAATGATGAAGTTTACAAAATCCAGGTATAGATCCTCTCTCACTGATGATCATTAGTCAGCTGTGCTTCGCTTCTCCACCTCAGACATTCAACCTGACTCTGATGCACTCGCTAAAGCCCAGCAGAGACTAGATTTCTCTCACTGAATAAGAAAAAAATCGCTTAAAAACACAAAATAAGGTGTTTGGACCACAAATGAAGGCAACTAGCAGTGAACTGGGACACTTTTTTTTGAAACCTCTTTCTCAAGATCACAGTTCAGTGATTTTATTTTGTGTCTGTAGAATGCTAAGAACCTCTTTCCAACAACATTTGAAACTCAGAATGTGGTTTGGAGTGAATGTGACTAAAACTGTTAACTAATATAAGTCACAAATGTTTAACAAAAACCAAATGTGCACTTTGTTTACCATTGTCTTGGGACATTTGAATAAATCACATTTTTGTAAGCCAACCTCACTTTTTCCTTTTTGCTCATTTATAACATATAGTCTACTCTTACCAGCTTGAAAAAACAATGGTATTTACTGCTTTTTATAAAGAAATACCATTAATATTATGCATAATTGACTTCAGCCTTTTGGCCTGGCCCTCCACAATATTTTCTGTTTCTCATCTGGCCCCATGGAAAAAATAATTGCCCACCCCTGCATTGGGCGGCATTCTGTAGCCCTCTGCTGACCAGAAACTGCATTTAACAGATTTGTGGTTTGAATTAGCGGGAGGTCTCCATCTGCTTTGCAGCTTTAACTGTTTACATACTAGGGATGTGAAATGGTGAAATGATGGTGATATGTATCACGATACAGGGGAGGCGATGCAATATATCACAATATGCTGTGATACATTCAGTCAGACTGCAAATTAAACTCAAACAAACATGTCTGCTGTGAACCAAATTTACGGTGCATCTTCATTCGTTTTGCCGTTCATTTTCAAACAGTTGATTTTTCCTACTCGGAAGTCGGATTTTCCGAATATCGAGGATAAAGCGAACGCACCATTAGCTGCTAGCAACGGAAGCTCAAGTATCAAGCCAATGTTGTCTTAACAGTTTATTTACCTCAGGGGTGTCAAACTCATTTTAGGTCAGGGGCCACATTGAGGGAAATCTAGTCCCAAGTAGGCCGGACCGGTAAATTAAAACAACTTCAGATTGTTTTCTTTGTTTTAATGCAATCAATATAAAACAAGGCTGGAGCCTGAGGACAGTGTATCCAAAATAGTACAAGTACAACACCTGAAGTGTACTTGAAAATTTGAAAAATAAATAAATAAATAAATAAATCAACAAATAAAAACATTCCTTAGTGATTCAAAGTGCTTACAGATCACATGGCTAGATCAGTTTCATGCAGCACTTAAAGTATATTTGACTCATTTTACTTTACATCGTTTAGCTTTCAGCAGCACATCAACATCAGGAGTCATATCCTGAGTGGCGGCCATCTTCAGGATGTGATTCAAGTTGTTGTGTGAGCCTTGAGCGCAGCTTTCTTTTTATTTACACTCAAAGATACGTTTATTTTCACTCTACATTGTAAAGTATGAAAATAAAGTTTATCCAACCATCTCGCGGGCCGGATTTAACCCACTTGCGGGCCGGATCCGATATTTGACACCCCTGATTTACCTGCTGGAGCAGATTAAGATGATGATAGCTCACTTAGAACATTATCAATGTTGTCATCGTCACCCAGTCACCAATCGCATTTAGTGATGTAGACCCAAGCTTCAGAGCGTGTTTTTTCTACTGTGCTGTTAGCTCTGTTTACATCTTGCCCACAGCGACTGACGACATAACGCACTTGTGCATGCGCTGCCGTCTGTCTTGGGAAATCAGATAACGAACGCTAGTGTGTGAAAAAAGGTACCAAAACAAGGCACTGTTTTATATCACATGAATTGGTCCTTGGTCGGTACCACAGATTTCGGTCAGTGCATTAAAAAACACAGAATATGCCAGTAAAGAAAAGTAAAAAAACAGGTCAACATTTCCTGATTGAATTTATAACCATAAAGACTCCTCGGCTCGCTGTAAAGCGATGTCCAATCTTCACGGACATCTTTAACATCTCCTTGGAGTCCTGCCATGTTCCAGCCTGCTTTAAGCTGTCCACCATTGTCCCTGTCCCTAAGAAACCCCGTATCACTGAACTGAATGATTATAGGCCTGTGGCGCTGACGTCTGTAGTCATGAAGTCTTTTGAGTGCCTGGTCCTCCCTCATCTCAAGTCCTTCACCTCCCCCCTCCTGGACCCTCTGCAGTTCGCATACAGAGCTAATAGGTCAGTAGACGACACCATCAACCTGGCCCTCCACTTCATCCTGCAGCACCTGGACTCCCCGGGAACCTACGCTAGGATCCTGTTTGTGGACTTCAGCTCTGCGTTCAACACCATCCTCCTGCTCTGCTCCAGGACAAGCTCTCCATGCTTAACGTACCCAACTCCACCTGCAGGTGGATCACTGACTTCCTGACGGACCGAAGGCAGTGCGTGCGGCTGGGGAAGAATGTTTCCACCGCTAAGACAATTAGCACAGGATCCCCACAGGGTTGTGTACTTTCTCCTCTGCTCTTCTCCCTGTACACAAACTGCTGCACCTCGAGCCATGACTCGGTTAAACTGATCAAGTTTGCGGACGACACCACCCTCATCGGGCTCATCTCTGACGGTGATGAGTCCGCCTACAGGAGGGAGGTGGAACGGCTGGTGTACTGGTGCAGCAGCAACAACCTGGAGCTCAATGCTCAGAAGACAGTGGAGATGATTGTGGACTTCAGGAAAGTCACAGCCCCATCTCTCCCCCCGTCCTGACGGACACCCCCATCACCACTGTGGACTCCTTCCGCTTCCTCGGAACCACCATCACACAGGACCTTAGGTGGGAGCCATCCATCAGCTCCCTGCTCAAAAAGGCCCAGCAGAGGATGTACTTTCTGCGGCAGTTGAAAAAGGCCAAGCTGCCGGCCCAGATGATGGTGCAGTTCTACACGGCCATCATTGAGTCCATCCTCACCTCCTCCATCACTGTGTGGTACGCTGGAGCCACGGTGAGGGACAAACATAGACTGCAGTGCATTGTGCGCTCTGCTGAGAAGGTGATTGGCTGCAGCCTTCCATCTCTCCAGGACCTGTACGTCTCCAGAACTCAGGGGTGTGCAGGTCGGATAGCAGCTGACCCTTCTCACCCGGGACACAGACTTTTTGAGCCGCTTCCCTCAGGCGGGAGGTTACGGTCCATCCGGACCAGAACCTCCCGCCATAAGAACAGCTTCTTTCCATCTGCCGTTAGACTTGTGAACAGCTTATAAACACACAACCATGCTGGTCTTCTGTACTCGACACAACGTCACGTTATCGGCCATGTTACCATCACCTGCCTTTTTTATAGCTGAAAGTTTTATTCTAGTTTTTTTTATTCTATTTTTAATCTTATTATTCATGTTATGTGTAGCACATTAGTACCGAAGCAAGTTCCTAGTTTGTGAATTGTTTGTTCACTGACAATGGCAATAAACCTATTCTGATTCTGATAGTATGTGAAAAAGGTACCAAAACAAGGCACTGTTTTATATCACATGAATTGGTCCTTGGTCGGTACCACAGAATTCTGTCAGTGCCTTAAAAACACAGAATATGCCAGTAAAGAAAAGTAAAAAAAACAGGTCAACTTTTCCTGATTGAATTTATAACCATAAAGACTCCTCGGCTCGCTGTAAAGCGACCAAACATCACTCCACACAGAGCATCCTGATCTAGATGAGCATGTATAATCTCCATTTTTATTCTGGTAAGTTACAGATGATGTGTTTTTTGCACAGCTGTTCTTTAGTTCCATTTGAGCATGCATATCGACACACAGGGTACACACACACACATCGTTAAGCTAATGTGGGCGCACTGAAACACAACACGACTTCTTCTGCTACACTCCTATTGGATGACCGTTTTGATAGTTTTACTAGAATAAACTACAAATGAAACGTTTACCTCTCATCTTGGCATTTACATTCACTCATGTCACAAACAAGACAGCCGAAAATGTCCATTATGCAAAACCGCGGTAGCAACAAGTTGTCCTCGGTGCTCCAGTCTTGGGTTTTTCATATGGAACCAAACCATTTATGATGCTGATTTTGTCCATATACCAGTCCCCGACTTCCCTCTTCAACAGATCTCCGTATATTCTGCATCCTTTTCAGGATTTTAATGTGTTGTTTAACTTTTCCTTTCTCCCAAATCTGCTTCTTCTCTGTAACGTACTGTTTGTTTCCATGGTTTGTTTACACTCGTGCCGCTACCAACATGTCCGCCATGTCCCAGAATGCAACACAGAATCATGTGTGATCTCAAGCCTAGTTATATAAAAATGACAAACATGAGAAAAAGGCAGAAAAGTAGCATTTACTGTACAAAAATATTTCCGTTTCATGTTTCTCTGAAAGCTTAAGTTCCATAACTGATGATGATGCATATTGCCAAAGAAAACCGTTTTTTGTGACTTGCAAAGAGAAAATGGGAGTGAGTGGGGGGTGACTGAAGCAAGTCATCTCAGGAGGCAGCAGAATGAAGCAGCATGGGGCAGGGACTCTGCTGCCATGTGGTGTTGTTATTGAGCCAGGCTGGAACACAAAGACGAGCTGGGCCGGCAAGCGGACGAGAGGAGAGGAAGGCAGCTGGCGACGATTATGTTTGTAGAAGGTGAATGTTTACACACTGGGCCCGTCACGTGGAGAACATGTGCTCAGTTAGAAATGCAAGCTCATCTGCCAGTCACACTGAAGGAGGGAAAAAATAAGAGGGAGGAGGGGGGATGTCAGACACACACACACACCCACTGGAAGGTGGCCAAATATTCCCATAGAAATCTCACACTCACAGGCTGGCGGCAGCCCTGAAGCCGGCGGTTTTGCACTTGAAACGGCGCCCATAGCTATTTTTGGGATGTGACCTAGCGGAGGAGCCCCGGAGGGAGCGGCAGGGAGGAAAAGCTGATTCAGAATCCCCATCCCCCAAATCTTCAACCCACCTTCACCCAGTTGCCTCTGCCCCCCTTCCCTGTTGCAAACATTCAAACGCACATGTTTGCTACCTGCACGGGGAACATGAAGCCCATTCAGGCTGGGGGGTTGCTCAATGCAAATCCGCTAGCGGATAACCAGTTAATATTCTCTCACATGTGAAAGCAGGTCAGCAAGCGCCCCATAAGACTGGTCATCTGACAGAGGTCTTGGTCTGCACTGGACGGTCTCCATGACAACCACCTTTTTCCGCCTCCTGGCTCAAAAACACCGTGGAGAGGCGCCCTCCCAATTCAAGTAATGCTCCACCAACACCATCCTCACAGCCTCAGATGAAAGGAGCAAGAAGTCAAGGGTCAGCTAGCTGAGCCATGCATGGAATCTGATTTGTTTCCTGCCTGTAAAACACACGTGTAGTAAGGGAATTCTGTGCCTGTTCAATTGAACTTTATTAACAGTTTTGTTGCTGAAATGTGAACAAAACCAAGGTTCGAATAATTGGTTTAATTTTCAGTTTTTTGTCTGTGTTTCCTTAAAAACACAGACACAACACATGACTTCATTAAGAGAATGTCAAAAGTCAAGAAAACAGATCTGAGGTAAAGAGAGAAAACGTTGAGACAAATAATACTTCTTAGAACTAAATCTCATCAAAAGACTTTTGCCTGGAGGGACGGGAAGAGCCAGAACAAAGGGCTCCTGAAGGCTGGAGCAGCACTGAGTTTGTAGCTTACAGTGCGAGCGCTCTGTAAGAATCCGACAGCTCCGATTCCTCAGCCTCAGTAGGCAGAAGCATTGTACACCCCCCCACACACACACACACCAACCTACTCCCACTCTGCAGTCATTGATTTTTCCTGGCTCAATACTGCACAGCACCAACCTGTTCTGCTGACTGCACAAGCCGGACAGCGAGAGCAGAGGGAGGGGGCGGTGGGATGGTGGTGTTTGGCA